CAGAGGTGTGGGACTGGATAATGTGCTGAGAGCTGGAGGACTGTGGCTGACAGAGGAACAGATTAAGTTAAAGTGACCTTTTCTGAAATTAGCTGCATCAGTAAATGTTAAATAAGAAAAGACAACACCTGATGGTCCAGGGACCAAAGGACGGTGCTGCTCTTTTTGGTAGATTTTTCGGTTTTATTATCTTTTTAAATAAATGCTGTTGATCTTATTGTCCAGCATTAAGATGCAACTGAAGGCTAAATGAGCCGTTTTCTCCAGGTGAAAATTGTCCTACAAAACCAGTTCATTGGAGTTCTCACATTTATAACATTGTGCAGGAAATGCCACAATCAAAAAAGTGTATTAGTGTAAATGTGTCACAAATGGAAAAAGTGTAGAGGTGTAGGACCCAAATACTGATAAAAGAGGCAGAGTCAAGAAATTGATTTTTCCATTTTACATAAGAAACAAAACTACAGACATTGAGAGACTAGACCTGACAAACAAGGTTCAGGGAAGAAAAATGAGAATCATTTAAATGTTGAGGCAGATTATGACTAAGTAAATGAAAGGTCTTCTGAGACATTAATCCCAAAACTGGTGTGGACCAGGAAGTAAAACAGCTTCCAAAATAAAACAGGGAGCTTTAAAGCAAGTTGCACTAAAAACAGCATTGTAGATGCTCTGTGATGACAAAATGAAACAAAGAAAATGAAGGAAATTAAACTAAAAAGGTTTTGAAATCCAGAAATCTTTTGATAAGAACATTTCCTACAAATGACAAAGACATTATTTTGCATTCCTGGTTACCTCTTTAGGCAAAAGTTATCAAATTTTACAATAAAACGATTATAGGTGATAAGTGACTCCATTTTACTGAATTTCAGTTCCGGTTGTGCTTTTTTGTCTCCCAAACCAGAATCTCTCCACCTTCAGGCAGTCACTCTCTCTGGCTGAAAAAATATTATCCACTGTCTGACCTCCTTTTCGCCTCACACTTTCATCCTCTGAGTGTTCACGTCTGTTACTCTCACTTCCCCCCTCTCTCGTATATTATCTTACTGTAGGTCTTATTTGCTTCTTCGTGGCTATCTCATGTTATAAAAACCTGAATGATTCTTTTTTTTCTTTTTAGTCAAGGTACACTCAAACACACACACACACACACACACACACACACACACACACACACACACACACATGCTTGAAAATCAAAGCAGCCATCATTGTGGCCGCTGTCAAGTCAGATCACCGAGCAGCTGGGGATAAATAGGTATAGGAGGAGGGGAGCGACTTGAAGGTTGGGCACTTTAAACATTCTCATCTTGTGTCCCAGGATCACTCTGGCCATATGCAGCTGTCTCAATTTAACAAATCTGAATGTGGATGTTGTGCAGAACCTTGTGTCTGTTCACTCTAGGAGCCACTCAGCCCAGTGGGACCTCAAACCTGCCTGCAATCACACTGATGAGGGTGTGTGTTGTCTGCTTGAGTGTGTTTAGTAAAAAAGTACAACATGTAAATTAAAGCATTTTGACCTTTAAAGCATCACCTCTTCTATATGTGTTGTTATTTTACAGGCTTCCAAAAAGGAAACACTAATTTCTGCAAAGCAAGATCTGTTCCTCAATCTTGCTTTTCGTTTTGACAAGTCTGCACACTTGCCTTCACTTCAATGCCAAAAATAAACACAACATTGTTGTCTCACTGATACAGGGTCATTTTGTTACTTTGCTCAAGAATCTTTATAAGTTCGTGACCTTTACTGATCTGGCTTAAAGCTGTTCTAACGAATCTACAGAACAGGTTAGGTTTTGAACACAAACACAGTAACAGACTATTCACCCTTCTCCTCAAGTATCTTCCCTGAGACGATTCTGCCGAAACCAGAGACCTGTGATGCCAGACGAAACAAGATATTGCTTAACATCAGTGATGGTTTCTTAGGTCCAAACTTTTATTGTTGCCCGTAACTTCAAATTGTGTTTTTCTTTTTGGGACTCTGTTAGTTTGTCCTAAAGTTGAAGTGGTAGCAGCCGACTGTTTCTACTTCTTTGATATTATTGAGCCGTGAACTTCTCACACCAGTGGTGTTCTGTTGCTAAATATGCGTGTAATGAATGGAGGACCCAGGAAATTGCGGTGGTCCGGCGAGACAGGCAACCGGGTTGTCCAATAGTTGGCTTTGGTCTGAAACATTTTATCAGTAGAGGTTTTTAGACAAATGCAAGTTTGTATATATATATATATAGTTATTTAATTTTTTGACAGCGGTTAAAAGAGGTTTGCAGAAATATTTTCATTCTCATTTTTAGATTTCCCTGAAGGCCAAAATTAGAGTTAACTGTGTTCAGACGTGGCACAGGAGTTAAGTGCTCGCCCCGTAATCGGAAGGTTGCAGGTTCGAGCCCCGCTCAGTCTGTTACTGTCGTTGTGTCCTTGGGCAAGACACTTAACCCATGTTGCCTGCTGGTGGTGGCGCGTGTGCTTGGCAGCCTCACCTCTGTCAGTGCACCCCAGGGCAGCTGTGGCTACATTGTAGTTCATCCCCACCAGTGTGTGAATGTGTGTGTGTGAATGGGTGAATGACTGATTGTGTTGTAAAGCGCCTTGGGGGGTTCCAGGACTCTAGAAGGCGCTATATCAAATACAGGCCATTTGCCATTCTTATTCAGAAAATCACATAAAAACTTACAGTTACAATTTAAATAAGCTAAGAAAGAATCAAAAGGTTTCTCTCCAGTCTGTTACCGTTGGGAGAACCCTTCCCAGATGTTTTCTTTGAATGAGTCACAGTTGTTTTCCAACACGTGACTGTAGACCTTTTTTGGCCTTTGCTCGTGTTTTTGGAACTTTTCAAGAAATTTACAACTTCTTGTAATTTTTCTGGCAAATTCTCTTTTGCAATTCTGAGCCAAAAATACAGCAAACAGCATTAAAATGATCCAGGTCAGAGAGAGAGGAGGGTGTTTGCTGCTGTTGGTGATGAAGTGTTGTCTTTTCTCTCCCTGGGTTTGTGTCTGTACCTCTGTCTCACACTGTCTGGGTCAGCCACTGATACTTTATTATCTGCTTTTCTGCTAATCATTTACAACACAGAGGTTGTAGAACAGCAACAACAAACACCTGACTAGAAAAATGATAAGTAGGACCGTGTTTGTCAAACAGCTGCTTCCATCCTGGAAAGAGATTAAACTGAATCTGAGACAAGTTGTCGCTGAACTGTCATTGTTTGTAAAACCTTTTTGTTTCTTTTATGGTAGAAAATTGGAACAATCCCTGTCTGCTTGCTTTTGTTACACAAATCGTTTATAAAATCTTGATTTGCCCTCTAAAAAAGAATTTTTTTTAAATTTCTCAGACATTCCTGACTTGTTTGTTGTTCTTTTCTTGAAAGTGCAAAATGTAGGAGTAAGAAAGACATCCTGTGGTCAATTCTAGCTACTGCAGTTCATTGTTTTAAACAAAAAGTTACTTTCTCATTCTCATTTCACAAGTTTCATGACTGTTTCCAGTTATGGATCAGCGCCAGATTATAGATGACACGTGCAGATGAGTCATACACAACAAGTAGATGACTACATTGTCATATTTGGTGTATAGCGCCAGGGTGTTTTGTGGTAGGGATAACTTACTACACCTTTTACGGTAGTATGCCTCCAGCATTAGAAGTGTGGTTATTACATACATTTCACTGTAATGCCAAGTTGTTGGTAACTGAAGAAGTAGCTTGAGATATGTTTAGAGCTATTTGTTTCTAATTCACTATTAGCATTTTTAGCTCAACGTTAGCCTCCAGCCTGCTTTACCTGATGTTAGAGTAAAACAAAAAGATGACATGGCTTCTAAGAGGTAAAATAAAAAACTTCTGAGCCGCTCCTGTTTACTGGCTTTGGTTCTTATAACTCTGAAGCTTTTTGCTTGCCAGTGTTGAATTACAAAGGCTGTAGCGTTAGCTCGGTGCAGACTCGCAAACCTGCAGGCTCACAGATGTAAACAAAGACAGCACCCCTTTTTGACCATTTTGAAATGAGAAAAACCGACAACCCTCCAGCCGGTGGAGAAGAAAATCTGTTTTAATGTAACCTTCCTTCCAACACGACTGAGAAATTTCATTATTTTATTGTAAAAGTACTACATATTGCTTCTTTAAGTACAAAATTCCAAGATTATGAGACAGAAGGAGACGATTGATTTACTGTGAATTTCTCCCAACTAAACTGCTGCTGAATCCGACGGGACATGAAAATGTGCCAAGTGTCTTCTGTGAAGTTCCAGTAGTGGTATGCATGCTTTTCCCTCATCCTTTGTGATGGTCTCTTCACACTACAGCTCCCCTTTTCCTGTCCCTGTTTCCATGGAGACCAGAAGAGGTGTGGAGAATCCTGAAGCCTCCGTGTGGTTGATGGGTTTGTCGTATGTGCTGCCTGCCAACCATCACTTACGCTGCCACTTAAATAGAACAGGTGTTGTACATAGCTCTGATTTTTGTTTTATTTAAATAATGTGGACGTTTAAAATATTATAAAATGAAAGCATGTTCTTGTTTACAATATTTTGTTGATAGATTGAAAGTGCTGTGAATTCCTCTCTGAAATGAGAGCAAAGGAAGTTATTCTTTAACAATTCCGTTAGTTTTTACATCCCGTGCCAATTTTTATCTAAGTAATGACACCCCCCACCCCTTATCATTCCTCTCCTCATAAACAGTGACGATGACCTGGCCTATTGTTTGTAGGGTTGTGTCCTCCTTTTCTTCACTGACAGGCTCGTTTGTTGATCTCCTAACTAGATTAGCACTTGTCCGATTAACTGCTTGCAACCCCCTAAAGCCGCCTGGTGCTGAAACGGTTCGGGGCAGGGCTTCTCCTGCTGACTGTCCCAGCTTAGATCGAGTCACAGCCCACGACACGCTTTCCCTTTTTACACCTGATGAACTTGTGGACAATGTCCGCCACAGGCACCATTAACTGAAGATGCAAAGAGCTGAAAAGGTGAGTTTAAAAGAAAACACACATTCACAAGGGAAATGTTTGTTTTTTAACAATTGATGAATTTTTGGAGGAGGGCTGGCCTACTTACAGCATGTTAGAAGGGTGGTGTACACAAGGCCAGCAGGATAATTTCCGTTCCGTCCGTTTGTGTGTTTGCTGAATGAAGGAAACCAGGAACAATGTGGGTTTCTCGTGCAATATCCTGGTAGTTAAAATTGGAAGAATTTTATTATACCGAGATTTTGATCAGGTGTGTAACAGGACATTGATCCAATACATTGGTCATTGATCCAAAATGCAAAAATCAGTGGAATAACTATTTTTTAAATGCACTTTTATTTTAAAATTTCTTTATTTTGAATTTCCGTCGATGTGCCGTTTTCCACCAAATGTGTTAAATGAAGTAGCTAGAGGCATCATGGCGAGCAGTGAGAAAACAGTCTGTGAAGAAATTTTCTCTCCCATGGGAAATATTTGTGTTGTAATATAATTTCCCGTTGATCGTGGATCCTACATCGTATCAAATCAAAGTGATAGTGTGACAGAATTTGAGATATCGCCAAACATTAAATATGTTACACGAAATAATAGCATGATCACACTAGTGATGTACACCCCTCATGCTTACTGAGTAAGCTAGCTGTAATTTTCTGAGATTTTTATTTCTTAATTTGACTTCTTTATGTCCTTATTAGTCAAAAAATATAATAAACATGTATTATTTGTGGTACATTGTGTGTTTCTAACTAAAACAGTTAAAGCCATACAGTAAACCCACTGAAACAGAATAGTCCTTCCAGATATGAAGCGATAAAGCTCCATGCACTGCAGACTTCCATTTCTTTGCCCTTTGACCCATCACCTTTTCATTCCCGCTCCTCTCTGAATCATCATGACAGACTGAACTCTTACAATGCAAAGGTGAGGCCAAAATGCGAATGGGCTGAGGCGAGCGAGCTGCGCTGGGGGGTTCTGAGACAGAGAGATATGCACGGGTGGCCAGAGCAAATTTTTCCACCCAGTGCTGGAGTTGGGTTGACAGCCATCATGTGGGTATCAGGGACAACAGACTGAGGGAGGACTGCGTGCAAGTCTGGCCTTTTGCAACAATCCTCCCCAGTGCTGTGCAATCACTCAGAGCATCTACTGGAGTGACAGTTCAGTAAATTTCCACTGTTTTAGGGCTGAGGCCCCAGCTGTCAGGCTGGAGCAGCAGGGATGTGCTCGATGGAGTTGAAATGACTCTAGGAGAGAGTGGGGAGTTTGGTATTGCCTTTCAGACATTCGGAAAGATGCTGCAGCTTTGTGGCTTAAGGGGAAGAACAGTTCCCTACCTTTGTTTCTTGTTCTGTATCTGTGTCTTGTTGGTTCAAGAGATCAAGAGAATGATACCCTCTGTGATGCTGGCAGACAAAAAAAAAAGACTGAATCTCAGCTGAAGAGATGTAATACATGATGACTTTAGTCTCATGTATGTGAATCTATAGACACGACTGAATAAATGGCTTCCTAGTTGGTGATTATTTAAATTATAACATGTTTGTTATGATCATACCAACGATGCACATCTAATCTTAAGCTTTTTTTTTTTTACTATTTTTTGCAGGGAGGTTATAAAATATTGAACAAAAAAGGGAAAAAATACAAAAAAATATATAAAAGTATGTTAATATTGTGATAAATAACAAGAAAAATTAATGGGATAAAAAGTATAATAGGGAGGTGGAAAGTTTGACTAGTAGAAGCTTTGATGTTCCACTTGAGAGTAAATCTGTAAGGCTTGTCACCACAATTCAGACATTGATTCTGTTTGCTTCAAAGCCAGACAGAACATGGAGAAAAAATGTATAAATAAAAATAAATTTTATATTTTAAAAACAGAAATACAGCAAACCTCCCCACCTAAGAAATGGTTTGATCCTGCTCACCCTTCTCCTTTGAGCGCTCTCTGCTTTTCTGAATGGCTGATATGCTGCAGTTAGTAGTTAGTTTCTGTTGAGATTGTGAGGTTACCAAGATTATATTTGTAAAAGTTACATTAATAATATCCCAATAACACACCCAACACTATAATCCAAACTCTGTATATGAGATATGTCTGTATAATGTTTGTAGTTAATCTTGTGTGTATGGCAAGGGGGCCCTCAAGTAAAAAAGGCTGGGAACCATAGACTCTTCAAACCTGGACCAAATTATTCTTCACTGATAGCAGATTCTCTGTACAATGCACAAAATAAGGATATTTATCTTGCCTGGCTGGGCAGCTCTCTGGGTGCTCAGCCCCCCTAAACCTCTGATGCTAGAATCGCCACTGGTCTCTTATTTTCTATCATGACTTAGGATCAGAATCAGAAGGTTCTGGTCCAAATAGATTGGAGAATCCTCCCAGCTGGGAGTGAGTGAAAGAGACTGTGTCCAGGGTGACACACGGGTCTGCTGTGATCCGAACTGCATGCCTCACCTGGAGGTGTACCGGTCCTGTATAGAGGGGAGTTTGCAGCCAAGGCCTTCTCAGCAAAGCCTATAACACACTGCAGTCTCTTCACGTCCCTGATGGTGCTCCAGCATACCACACAGTGATTGAAGAGGTGATAATGAACTTGATGACTGTGGTGTAGAACTGCCTCATCCACTGTACAGGTAGGTTGAATTTCTTCCGCTGCCTCAGGAAATTCATCCTCTGCTGGGCCTTTTTCATGATGGAAGTGATGGTGGGCTCCCATTTGAGGTCCTGGGTGATGGTGGTGCCCAGGAACTGACATGAGTCCACCATTGGGATGGGAGTGTCAGACAGGATTATGAGCGGGAGTGGGGCTGTGTGCTTCCTAAAGTCTACAACAACCTCCGCTGTCTTCTGGGTATTTAGCACCAGGTTGTTGTGGCTGCACCAAGACACCAGTCGTTCCACCTCCATTCTGTAGGCAGACTCATCCCCATCAGAGATGAGTCTGATGACGGTGGTGTCATCTGCAAACTTGATAAGCTTGACAGACTCATGGTTGGAGGTGCAGCCGTTGGTGTACGGGGAGAACAGCAGAGCACACAACCCTGAGAGGAATCGGTGCTGATGGTTCGCAGGCTTGAGACATTTTTCCCCAGCCTCACTTGCTGCTTCCTGTCTGTCAGGAAGTCAGGATGATGAATGAAAATGCATCAGACCCTCTTAGTCAGTGAGAGGATTTTATATTTATGCACTTCCCAGTCCCTACGAACCAAACCATCCACAGGGTGTGTGCATGCTTGTGGATGATGATCATCGTTGTCATGGAATTTCTTTTAGAAAGATAATAACGCAGTGAGAAAGCAGTCCATGATTCAATCAAAAGGGTTTAATTTCAATATTGTATTCAATTTCTCTATTACACCATCAACGTGTTAGAAAGACGAGGTGATTGGACACAAGTGATCCAGACAGTGAGCATTTTCTACTAAGATAAATACTTTTGCTCTGTCGTTACCATGCAATCACAATTAGTGGATTTGCATCCAATCAAAACTGATGAACTATGTCAGTAACCTTTCCGCCTTGCCCAGTTTCCAGATACAATATCAAACAGCATGTCGACCTTTTGGCAGTGACATACACGAAGTGGAATGAGCGTAGTAGTGCTGCATTTCCATTACAGAGAGTCTTCTGTGTGAATGGTTAGCATCCTTGGCTGACAGTCCAGCTCTTCTTTCCTGAGGATGGAAATGAAGCCCGCGAGTGATAGAACCTCCTGGCTGTTACTGGTAATGGGCCAAAGGTTAGCGCAGGAAAACCGGCGTTTAATTTCAGATGGTGGTCTGAACTGAATGTTGGTTCTATGAAACTTGACACAGAGAGCAGAACGTGTGTGAATGTAAGATGAACGATTAACAAACTCAAGCTGCTTTGGATTCACAAAATAACTCAAGACTTTAGGGTTTGATGTATTTGACAGCATTTTCCAGGTAGTAGTGTGTTTGTGTGGGTGTGTGATCATACTTTGATGTGAGAGATAGCAAGGCTCCCCCAGGCGCAGCTCCTCTTGGCACTGCTTTCGTGATCCAGTCATGACAGGGAAACATGACACTCGGGAGGATACTCCACTGCCCGGCAGCTTGGGGAGAGTAACAAGGCTTCACAAACATCCAGCCAGGGTCTCCAGAGAGATATTCTTTTTAAACACACTGAGCTTCACACACTCCTGCTCATCATGAAGCTTGCACACACAACTACACAAAACTAAACACCAAGAAAAAAAAAAGATATAGGTATATGCGCACCAGGATTGTGTTAATGGACACTCCCATTGCTGAGCGGACAGTGAGATGATTGGCACACAGAAAACATTACAGCAGCACCTTCAGGCATATGGCACGTAGACCCACTGATGGGCACACACATATGGTGCGGGTGGCTTCTGCAGCTTCGCATTGGGAGGAAATCAGTGTGCTCGCCTTTGATCAGACTCCAGCACACAAAGTACAAGCTAGAAAAAAATAAAAAGCTGATAAATCTCTATTTGGGTTGCACCGATTTGACTCATTATTCAACAATGAATTTAAAATAAAAGGCAGTGCATTTTCCAGCTTTTCCTTTGTTTATTTGAACACAATTTCACAAACGCTACATTAATCCTCCTTTTCCTTCATGCATCGTGATCATCCCTTGGACAGTGAAAAGCAGAATTAGGTGTTGTTTTTAGGACATGAACAATGACTTACTAGCACAGATACATTTAAACTGTAAAATGAACATAATTCAAGGTATATACGCTGCTTGATTGAACTTTACCTTCGTCACGTTACTTCTTGCAGTGAAGTGCGATGGTACACAGAGCGCTGTGAAAAGGAATACACTCACTATGATGGTGCAACACCACGCTATTGCTGTTTCCAACAGACCGTGAAATTGTTTATTCTTCTGCTGACATTTCTGTGTAAAACAGAGAAAAAGGAGTTTTCTCTCTGTCGTCATGCAGTCACCTCAATCTTGTTCAAGCCTCATTGATTATCGGAAACTTCTAATCAAAAGATGACTGTACTCGCTGTTGCCTTGGTACTCCACTGAAAGGACAGCAACAGCCAGGAGATATTGTTAGGAAACATAGTGATGTTCTTGATTCAAGAGACTTTTTTTTTCAACCATATACTTCATTATTTTTGTTGTTTTTTTCACATAAATGCTCGTCAGTGTACAAGTTCTTTTGAATCGCCTTCTTTCTGCAGCAGTCATGAAAATGAGAAAACAAAGCATTTGTGTTACTCACAATGCAGCTTGAATCCTAATCTTTAAAAACACATTAAGCACACCCGCCACACGGATGTTGATACAAATTGCTTTTCTTCTAGAGGGTAGAATCATGGCTGGGTGTTAATCTGACTGATTAAACACATTGCACCCTTTCACAGTGGGACCACATCGACAGAAAACACAACGTGAATTGACTTTTCAGCACCACCCAAATATTACCGTAAGTAATGCTGCTCCGCACCTTTCCCTGGAATCAGTCAGCCATTTCAGACTCCAGGACCCCACCTCTGAGCCTGGGGCAGCTAGCCTGGCAAGCCAGACTAAATAAATGTATTATTTAGTCTGGCAACGCTCCATTGACGGCTCTCGGTTGTGGGGCGGGTTCTACCGTTGTCTTTCAAATGATCTCCGCATGCTACTGGACAATGAATGTGGCATACTCTTGTTTCACTCTGTTGCATCATCCCACCCACCAGGCATATAGAGTGCCCTGATTGGCCCACAAAGCGGATAAAGCTCTGTGATTTGTTCACTAAGCAGATGGAGCACTATGATTGGCCCACCATTATGGACCAATCACAGCTCTTTATGTGTTTGAAACCCCTCTAGAGAGCTGTGATTGGCTAGCCAGAGTCCTGGTAGGAGCTGCAGAGGTTCCAATGGAGCGTGCCTAGACCAAACTTTGCAAAGCAAGAATTTGGTCTAGTTCAGTAGGCTATGGGGCAGCTTTAACTCCCTGTGTGTGTATCTCTGAGTATGTGTTAACAGCTTATTCTCTTTCATTTCAAATGTCTTTCTGCCCCTCAGTGGGGAAACCTTGCAAGGACATTCTGGTCTGGTCTTCAGGAAACATTTTAGGTAGGTTATGGGTAGCTAACTGGGTCAAAACATTTGTCTAAAGGCCTATTTTGTTAACACAGATGGAAGGTATTAGATTGATTTAGGTGATGGAGTAGAAAAACATGGAGAATAGTTGACGGTATTGTGTGTGTAGGAAAAAGAGATGGAGCATCACCTCCAGTTTTTGCTGTTTGACTGATGATTAATAAAAACAGATCTACGTGTTTTTCTACACTTATAGATTTTAGTCCACTCCTCACGTAGTTTACCTCTCCTTCAAGCAAACTTGATTGTGGTTCCACTTCCATTCCTGGAAATATTCCATCTTTATTTTTGCCCCACATGGTTTAGAAAAAAATTCCCACCAGTCTCTTATTTCCTATCAGTTAAAGCATTTGCTTTTCAGCTAAAAGCAGGTGTATTACTTAAATCTTTTATTTTAACTTGAACGTTTCTGTCTTCCTCAGCCTTATTTCTTTTCTTCCTGCAGGCATTTACACGTCATTTAGTGCAGACAATGAAATATCCACAATTATAGCATAAGAATGAGAAAAGAGTGGGTTTTGATACAATTATAAATAACTGTTAGGTGTCATATACCAGTAACATTCTTTAAGGGGTGTAGTTCTCATTTTTGTGCTGGTAAATTTTTACTAGATTATTTTTCACAGAAAATGTTAGTTTGTGTGCCATTTACAGGCCCCTGACCACTAGAGGGCAGTGGAGTACAAATAATACATTCAAATGAGGACACAAGGCTTAACATCCACCCCGTTATTTAAAAATAGTTTTCGTTGATGAAAGCACTGCACGTGACTGTAGCTGCTAAAGAATTGGGATGTATTAATAGAACAATTTTTGAATAAGAAGTAAGCTCGTTTAAAGAAAGTAGAATAAAATCCATTAAATTTCTTTAAGAAGCATCAATCATGATAAAAGTTGCAAGCAGGGCCTTTCAGTGTTACCTCATAAACCCAAAGTGACCCAAACAGTCCAAGCCCCCCGGATGCAGCGCTCACTTTGTTTTTGTTGCTGCGTGGGGACGCGCTGTTGTGCACACAGAGGTCAGAAAGGTCAGTGAGACGGATGCTGCTGTATTTGGTCATGTTGCACCCGTGGGAGCAGCAGGAGACTCGAGACGATGCTGCAGATGATAACTGTGTCAAACAAAGTGGTTTCAGAGACGTCATGAAGAGTTCAAACGTTGACACATGAACAGTTGTGTAATTACTAACAAATAAAAGTTGCAGCTCACTTATTTTTTATAAGATTATTATTAAATTTAAATAGCTACGCTGCTAAAATGGCTTCAATAGTTTTTGTTTGTACTTTTAAAATTTCTGAAGATAAATTCTCCAATTTCTGCAAATAATTTGGTTTCATTAGAAATCAAAGAATCATTAATCTAATAATTATGATTATTGGTTTTATTTTGCAATTATGGCTTAATTGCTTAGCTATTACTTTTATTGTGTTAATACTTTTCTGAATGATCTTTTTTTTTACTCTCTGTGTAATTTAAAGTACTGTTTTCTGTGTTTTGATGTGATTTATTATTCTAATTCTAATGGTGTTACTTTTGCCCTGGCTGTGACTGTGTTCATGGCCTTCTGCCTAGAAAATAGTGGAAAATGTCCAATAGTCATCCGCTTCAGAGTTCACTGTCCACCAGCCAACTCCATAGTAGTAGTTTTATTCTCATCACTTGCTAAACGATGATGTCTCAAACATAGCACACCTTGGCGCTGGCTTTTACTCTGTGGGAGGGGCTTATGGTCTAACAGAGAGAATGTGAGCTTACAGATATTTAATGTTTACAATGAAACTGTCCCTATTTCTCACAGCTGTTCAGAATTTTTCTAATTTAGCCTAATTCCCCACAATTCCTGCATGTCTATTTGTACTCAGAAAAAAAGATTTTCCTCCCATTTTGATTTGTTTGTTTAGCATATTTGCCCTGCTTTCTCTTTGCATCCTTTTCTCCCTCCCATCTCAATCGCTCTTCTTACCTCTCCACGCTCCTTATCCATCCATCCTGTCTTCCCCAAAGCCAGCCTATTGGCCATCGCCTAGCAACCACATGATAATTTGGCATAATGTGACTCCCCCTGATGCATGATGGGGGCTGTAAGTCAACTTGATTCCCCCTTCTTTTATTTCTGCTGGTGGCTAGTGCGCTTGTTTGTAAAGAATAGAAAAATGAATGAATGAATGAATGAATGAACATATGTGTGTATGAATGAATGAATGAATGAATGAATGAATGAATGGATGGATGGATGGATGGATGGATGGATGGATGGATGGATGAATGAATGAATGGATGAATGAATGAATGAATGGAGAGAGGGAGAGAAAAGGGGAATTTCACGCTCTTGCTGTTACACAACTGGTGTCCGGCAGCTAAACCTGTCATCTCTCCCTGGAGGGTTGTTCCCCTCTTTCTGTTGCAGCGGCATCTAATCGTCTCCTTTCTTATTCTCAGCTTCTCACCACATGGCTCCAATTTGGTCCATATGTAGATTTAGAGCATGAACAAATAAAGAGCAGACAGGCACGTGAAGAGGTAGCTTCCCTCCATCGAGAGGACCCAGTTGCTCTTGAATGTGCTCCTGACACGTAGGAGCACAAAGATGGCTGCTCCATCTGTCTCCATGCTGCTATGTTTGACGTGAGCACAGCACAAGTGAAGGACGTCCAGATTATTTAATAATTTAATTCTTTTTTCCATCCTTTGCATTTCCTTTCCCTTTACTTTGGTTGCATCTACACATTTTTTGTGTGTTTTGGATCTGCTTTCTCCTTTCATGTGTTCGTTTCCTTCTTTCTTCACAGCATTGACACAAGTGATTTAGTCAATCTAAATCTTCCCTGATTGTGTTTGACCTCGTTAGGGTGTCAATGATCCCAGATGGTTGACCAAACTCAGCAAGTTATTAAATTATTCACCAAATGATCTCAGCAAGGAATTTATTATGAGAAAACTGGTTTTGCTCATTATGATTGGTTTTTGGTTTGGTTTATTTATTATCATTAAATATGAAGGGTCATAATTTGTTATAGCTACACTGGTAGTGCTGGTTTCTGCACATATGTGGGAATGCATGCAGACAAAAGGATGATTTATGTGTTTACACATTTAGCCTCTTCCTTTGTTTTTCCACATTCTTCCCATTCCCATCCTGTCACTGGGTCACCTCCAGTAGCATCCTGGTATTTTTATGTGCTGTTTGCAGAAAGACATGCTAAGCTAACGTTGATTCTGTTGCTCCTCAACACCACATTTTCCCCCTTTCCTGTAAGTGACCCCTTTGATTCATTCATCCCCCGTCTCACAGTTTATCTCCCTCCAATTGTTTGTCTCCCTCACACATAAAGGTGCCGGCATTTTCACGGTGGAGCTCCAGGCAACGCTCAGCAACAGGGTCCAGCTTAACGGGAGAGAGAGAGGCAATAAAAATAAATAAATGAGAAAAGTCCATTTAAAAGAGAGCGTAGTTACCGTGGTAACACCCTCCCTCCACCTCCCTTCTCAGTCCCTCCCTCTCCCTTTCTCCTCCCTCCACCTCTGTGGTGGTGATGCTCGTGTCTCTTTTCTCTCTATCCGGTTTGTCCTCACCTCTCCTGGACACGCTCCTCTCACACTGTCAGCGGATGACACGCGGAGGAGAAAGAGAAGTAGGAGGTGGAGGAGGAGGAGGAAGAGAGGAAAAAGGATACAAGGAGAACCTGCTGCCTCTTCTCTCCCATCGCTCCATCACTTTGAAATAAAAAGAGAAAGAAAACAGACCAGAGCAGAGCAACAACCTCAAGAGAGGACACACAGGATATACAAATACAGTTACATAAAAGAACCCCTACTCTTCCCCATTCTCCTTTTCAAGGAGGGCATTTTTCTTCCCTTTCCCCCCCTTTCCTTTTCTGCCCCGATTTTTTCCTCTGAGATCCCGGTTTGGTCCCCAGCAGTGCCCCCGAACTTCCCTGGGATTTCAGGTGAGGTACGCGTGTGTAGTGTGTGGTGCGTTTTCCTTTTTTCTGCCACCTATCATGGCGCACGCGGCCTCCCAATTGAAGAAGAATCGGGGGGAAGTGGATGTGAATGCATTAGAGGACGAGAAGGAGAAGCGGAGGAAGAGCAGGCGAGCATCGTCCCGGGAACAAAAGAGAAAGGTAACAGACAAGGGCTGACTGGTGGCTTCCTCCGTTCAGCTCCACTGGTGTCACTGGAGCATGACTCTCCCTCTCTCTCTCCCTGTGTGTGTGAGTGTGTTTTAATGAGCGATACTTCTTAAATACATGCATTTATTCATATATGTAGTCAAATCTGCATGTGCACAAATATACACAAGGACAACTTGTGTTATTTGATGCCCTGTTTAACAAATTCATGTTGAATTGCTGCGTGCATTTTTGCTTCAAACCAAACAATTTCACCTCCAGTTTCTGCCTTCAGACGAGGCAAACTCCCAGACGTTGATTTCCCTACCTCTAAGTCTTTGTAATCAAGTAAACTATGCCTCAACGAGCATCTGTTTTGTCAGAGGTTGTTGTATCTCCCATCAAGCAAAGTACAACTCCGTAACTTTTAGTGTAGATGCATGCATAGTACTTTTCAACGAGTTGGTGCCATAACATAATGTTTTAGTGACTTTTATTCAGTTTTATTTTTGCATGTGCATGGATGCCCCGACTGCCATGTATAATGCATACTCATCTGATTTATTGATGACAAAGCTCTTTCATATGATGGAAGAGAAAGTGAAAAGCATGTGGATCTCTGTCCTCTTCCTGCTTGTCAGCACTTCACTTTAGACAGATCGGAAGTAGAAACCTCAGCAAAATAAGAAAATAAACTGATCATAAATGTGTCACTATAATGGTGCTTTTGGTAGCTTTTGATGCATTTGACCATTTTCCACGTTGATGTTGGGCGATTTGACTATAAGAGGTCGACTCAATTACAATGTGTCCCTTGAGTCCATGGGTGCCTGGTTTTGAATTATGCTGCTGGCAATGTTATTTGACCTTCCAATATACAAGAAATGAGCCATCGTGGCGAAATCCTTTGAAAACTATAAAAAGAATGTTAAAGTTGAGGGGGTTCACGGACCTCCATGAGTTGCAGAAACTTTTAAAACACCCCGCCTGAAGCACACTTTTAGTTTTATCTTGGATGTCAGGGTTAGTGAAGGATTGTGTTTCACAAAAACAAAAGAAAGAGGTGGAGAAGGTAGATGAGGGGATGCTGGTATTGATTAAATGTGAGGCATGGACAGTGGCTGATTTTTCTTTAAGTTTCTGTCTTTCTCGTGTTATTTTCTTCCCTGCCTTTTGCCATAACTTCATATATACTGCATCAAAACATTACTCATGTGTTCCCCTCTGTGTCTTTTTTCTGTTAAAGCTGCTTGACCCGTGCTGCTGTTTTTAAACGATGGATTGTGACGAAGCAAAGTCAAACACTGGAGCTAATTTGATTGTCAGTCATGTTTTCTTGCTCATTGCTAAACTTTTGGCTGTTGCTAAGGGTCATTTACACACTGAGATCTTTCATTCATGTGATTTCTATTCCTCGAATGTCCTTCGTTATGCACTTGTTGGTGGCCCTCCAGTTCTCATTTTAACCCAGAATACAGACTGACTAAGCAGTATCATAAACAGACATCTGAAGAAGGTTGACATGACAGCTGACATCAAGTAAACCTGAATATACCACTGCTTTTCACTAAACGTGTAAAAAAAAATTCCAACAAGCTGCTTTGAGTCACTTCTCTTGAAGCCCATATATATATATATATATATATATATATATATATATATATATATATATATATATATATATATATATATATATATATATATATATATATGTGTGTGTGTGTGTGTTTGTGTGTGTGTGTGTGTGTGTGTGTGTGTGTGTGTGTGTTTACTATATTTAGATAGTAGAGAAAGTACAAAACTTTATTCATGGAAAGCTTTTGTAAATGCAGAGGTGCATGAGTCACCAAGCAGGCTGATTGCTCTATGGCTCATGAGGTAGCAGCGTCATGGTTAGCCTACTTCAGACTGAACTGAGCAATGTCGCTTGTCAGCAATTATGTATAATGACTATAATGTCAAAGCCAATAAGTCTGAAAACTATCAACTTTTCTAAGAAACTGTTAAAGAGCAAGTTCACTGAGAAACCATTTTTATTTGTTTTTGAAATTCCATGGGTCACTTTGAGTTTCACATGCAGGCTCAAAAAATGGCCTTTTATTGCTATTTCCTGTATTAGACGCTGATACAACGCAGGCGAGGAGACGCTCTGGTCAGAAAAAGCCACTCATAGGCCTACATCACAATGAAAATTGGCATTCATAGACTTAACAATCTTGGATCGCGATGGGGGAAGGCTGTTTTTACAGCCAGGGGAGAGTGGAGTGTGTCTCAGCTAGTAGAAGCTAATTGTTAGCATTAGCACAGCATGGCAGAACTCCTACGTTCTTGCATTATATAGCAAATGGAGGCAGTGGAAGAGTTGTGTTGCTGTTACCCAATCAGAGACAAGATGTCAGAATGTCAGGAAATAATAATAAGACTATAGGATTCCTGCTGTTTTGCCCTGCCCCCTGCTCTGGTTCTCTTTTAGTTCCTGAAGCAAAAACATGAGAGCTTTTTTTTCCCCCACAGAGATCAACTGACAAGGCATTTAACCATACTAGAGACCTAGAGTACTGAAAAAATGAGTGAACTTAGTCTTTAAATAATTTTTTCTGCCCATTTGAATTTTTTTATTTCATCCAATAAAACAAACATTTTTTTAAACCATAGTTCTACAGAGCATTGTTTCACCTCGCGTTTGAATTGCTAATTTTTTAAGCTTGTCTATTTACACTCAGAAGTCCCAGTTTGCTCTGATTGGTCAGCTGATTGGTGATAAATGGGGGAGTGCAAGCAGCAGTTCGCTCTATGATTGTGCAGCACCAAAGCATTCATCATGTAGGTGTATTTCATGGAGAAATCAAATTTTGGACTTTACACCTTACATATTCACTACTTTGGATTACTGTCCTTCCGTCATTACGCACCTCCCTATTTTGCATTGTTGGATTGTTTGCAAAGTTTTTACTTTCCCTGATATGATGGTGATCTCTTAAGGAACTCTTAGACACTTCAGTAGATTGTAGAAAACATCTCGAAGGATTTTGTTACATGGATAAAAACACTGAAAGACACCAAAAAAGGTCACGTTGGGAACATTTTTAAACAAACAGTTCAGCATGAGGTCAGTTGCTTTAAACATACGCTATATTTCTCTGTCCGAATGGAGTCCAGGACTTCTTCTGAAGGAGATCTCCATGAGAGATGGCTAACAACTCAGGGCTGGGTGCTTCTGTGAAAAGTTTGATCACAGAGCACATCACCAGGGTGAGAACTCAATGTTTTTGTCCACATGTGTGTTTGCACCAATTAATGTTCACCTGTTGTTTCTGAGTCTGAGTAATTTTTGTGGTAGCTGCAGCGGTCATCCTAATGGGAAAGCCCATCATGTTGCATACATTCTTCATGCTACTTTGCTTCCAATGACATTATCTAGAGCTAGGATCCTCCAGTGGATTCCCTGAGAGAGCTAAGCAGGTTTCCTTCAGAGATGTCCTACTTTTACACACTTATCCAGAACAAAGAACCTTCTCTGTTACAGTAATTCCTATTTGGCTTCCAAGCTTTATAGGAGGCAAGTGAAATCTGTTTATTTGATAAATCTGCACCTCAGGGTTAGGGTGTTGTCAGTTTTGTTCGTTGTACCTGTTTCAACATTGATGCAGTTCATTCGTGTCATCTCTAATGCTTCGGCAAATCCGACTAAAGGTAATGGGATAAATACTGAATGGAGAATATTAATACTGACAAAACACGGTCTTGCTCGCAGAAGGGAAAACAAACAAGGAGAAACGTGTGTTCAGACATTAAGTAGACAGTAGAGAAATGATAGTGCTTATTTAGACCCATTTCTATTTTATTTTGTTGTCTCACTTCACACTCTTAAATGTCTATTACTGATGTAGCTGCAATAAAACCTCAGAAACTCATGTTGGTCTCCTCTTGCTGACCTGTTCTCTTACTTGCCCTCCCTTCCAGCCCATCAGCCCCTGAACAATGGAGGTTAATGAATCTAGTGCTGGAGCGTGCTTCGGGTAATTGTCTTCTTGGCCTCTTGTTCTTCTTGTTCCAAAATGTTTTCACTATCAAGATGTCCACCAGCTGGTTGACCACAGCACGGACTACCTAGTTAATGTTTATGGTTATAATACGTCTTAATGGCATTTTTGTGCATATAAGGTATATTTGCAACAAGCTATATTAGGCATGTTAACTGAGTAATATCTTCATCATTCACGTGATTTAGAAAGGGTCAGGAGAGCTGTGGGTAACTGAAAATAAATAAATAATATAATAAATAATAACATATATTATTTTAAGTCATGCAAATTTGGTTTTCACCAGTAACGTAATGGTAGCCTCATGCAGAAATATCTACAGCAGTGACGTGCACCACGATGCACTCAAAAATATTTGTCATTTGAGAATGAACAGAAATATCAAGTTGCATATGAAACACGAAAGTCTGTAGAGTTATCTTAAAACAATGTGGCATGTTGCCAAAACAATTTGTATTACTGCATCCTGAACTCAGTGGTTCTGTGAAACGTGCCTGATGTAGTGGAGTCACCTGACTTTTTGGCTTTTGTTCATGCAGTGTTGTGAAAATAACATGAATAGAAGTGAGGAAAAATGCAGAGAAAGATCAAACTCCAACTCACTGCCAAATCAAAATAGACAAACATGAATTGTTCATTCAAGATTTATATAGGTTTTATTTTAATCTGAAAATAAGTGAAAAGAAGCACATTTTATCCCTGTTAAATGGATACTTTACAAATATTCATGTTTTTCAATTATCTTCTTGAATCAGAAAGGCTACCCAGCCCCTATCCCCCCTTGTGTCCAGAATATCACACTTGCAATTTCAGACTGGCTGGCCACTCTGTTGGGGCTTACCTGGCACTGCAGTCTGGTTACAGCATGTTACCTCCATGTTCTAGATCAGGGGTGTGAAACTCAAATTCACACTGGGCGGAAATGAAAAACTGGGACGAAGTTGCGGGCCAAACTCAATATTTTTTTTA